TATATATATATATATATATATATATATATATATATATATATATATATATCGCTCGCTCGCTCTCATTCATTCACTCTTTCATTCTCTCTCTTTCATGTTCTCTCTCTCATTTTCTCTCGCATTCCTTTCTCTCTCTCTCTCTCTCTCTCTCTCTCTCTCTCTCTCTCTCTCTCTCTCTCTCTCTCTCTCTCTCTCTCTCTCTCTCTCTCTCTCTCTCCCTCCCACTCACTCACTCATTCATTCTCTCTCTTTTTCATTCTTTCTTTTCCTTATTCTCTCTCCCTTGTTATCTCTCTCTCATTCTCTCTCTCCCTTGCACTCTCTCTCTCCTTTTATTATCTCTCTCTCTCTCTCTCTCTCTCTCTCTCTCTCTCTCTCTCTCTCTCTCTCTCTCTCTCTCTCTCTCTCTCTCTTTTGACTCTTTCACCCCCCCCCTTCCCTCTCTACTTTTATTGCTATTCAGGAGATTTTCTCATTCCTTCCCCATAATCCCCTCCCTCTATTTCCCACACCCCACCCCCCTCCTTAACTCCCCCCTCCCCCACTCCCCCACTGCCTGCATTCCTATCTCACCATCCTTCAGTACCCTCCCCTGCCCCTGCCCCTACCCCCCCACTTTAGCCCCGTCCCCCGAACCCTTTTCCCTCGTGCAATTTTCTTAGCGTCACTTTCATAGGACTTCTTTGCGTCATTGGCTCCCCTTCCTTTGTGTTCCAAAGATGATATCGATTCGTGTTCACTTCACTGAAGGGGGGATTCCGTCTCTTACTTCCTTTCCCTTCGTGTGTAAGTTCTTGTTAGATGTGGTGCCGTCTGTCTGTTTGTTTATCCGTCTGTCTGTCTGCTTGTCTGTCTGTATGTCTGTCTGCTTGTCTGCTTGTCTGTTTGTCTGCTTGTCTGTTTGTCTGTTTGTTTGTCTGTTCGTCTGCTTGTCTGTCTGTCTGCTTATCTGTTTGTCTGTCTGTTTGTCTGCTTGTCTGTTTGTCTGTCTGTCTGTCTGCTTGTCTGTGTGTCTTCTTATCTATTTGTCTGTCTGTCTGTCTGGCTGTCTGTTTGTCGTGCGTGAGACACCAAACTTCATTAACAAACAACTCACAAGCACGCAAACAATTACGCTCTAGGTTCGACACATGCTGTAAACAACAACAGAATTAATAGGACGGCTGAAAACACGCGACTATGGACACGTAATGGGAAGGGAAAGGTACACTCAACAGGTGCAACATCGGAGTCTTCTTTGCCCATGGTCGTGTGCAGATGCGCGAGTGGATGTTTGAATGTGTGTTTGTTTGTATAGATAGGGAGGAAAAGCGTTGGAGAAAGGGAAAGGAAGAGAGAGGAAGAAAGGAATATATATACACATTGGCACATAAACGCTCTCACACACACACATTCACACATGTATGTATATATTTGTGTATATATATATTTTTTATTTATTTATTCATTTATTTATGTATGTATGTATGTATATACATACATACATACATACATGCACACATATATATATATATATATATATATATATATATATATATATATATATATATATATATATATATATATATATATATATATATATATATATATATATATATATATCGCTCGCTCGCTCTCATTCATTCACTCTTTCATTCTCTCTCTTTCATGTTCTCTCTCTCATTTTCTCTCGCATTCCTTTCTCTCTCTCTCTCTCTCTCTCTCTCTCTCTCTCTCTCTCTCTCTCTCTCTCTCTCTCTCTCTCTCTCTCTCTCTCTCTCTCTCTCTCTCCCTCCCACTCACTCACTCATTCATTCTCTCTCTTTTTCATTCTTTCTTTTCCTTATTCTCTCTCCCTTGTTATCTCTCTCTCATTCTCTCTCTCCCTTGCACTCTCTCTCTCCTTTTATTATCTCTCTCTCTCTCTCTCTCTCTCTCTCTCTCTCTCTCTCTCTCTCTCTCTCTCTCTCTCTCTCTCTCTCTCTTTTGACTCTTTCACCCCCCCCCTTCCCTCTCTACTTTTATTGCTATTCAGGAGATTTTCTCATTCCTTCCCCATAATCCCCTCCCTCTATTTCCCACACCCCACCCCCCTCCTTAACTCCCCCCTCCCCCACTCCCCCACTGCCTGCATTCCTATCTCACCATCCTTCAGTACCCTCCCCTGCCCCTGCCCCTACCCCCCCACTTTAGCCCCGTCCCCCGAACCCTTTTCCCTCGTGCAATTTTCTTAGCGTCACTTTCATAGGACTTCTTTGCGTCATTGGCTCCCCTTCCTTTGTGTTCCAAAGATGATATCGATTCGTGTTCACTTCACTGAAGGGGGGATTCCGTCTCTTACTTCCTTTCCCTTCGTGTGTAAGTTCTTGTTAGATGTGGTGCCGTCTGTCTGTTTGTTTATCCGTCTGTCTGTCTGCTTGTCTGTCTGTATGTCTGTCTGCTTGTCTGCTTGTCTGTTTGTCTGCTTGTCTGTTTGTCTGTTTGTTTGTCTGTTCGTCTGCTTGTCTGTCTGTCTGCTTAT